TGAATTTACTTTTTTTAAGTTTTTTGACTGCATTTTTGGTAAAAGCTTCTCAGATCATGATTTCATGTAATATGGACCCAAAAACAATCGGTGCACACATCAGTATACACACAGACACACACAGACATACAAACACATATAATTGACCTTGACCTAACTTGACCTGAAATGACCTCAGCAGCAAAATTCTGGTCGGGTAGTGTGACAAAGAGGTTCTAGCTGGCTTGGCACCAGAAAACAGCATCGTCATCGGTATTTGATAAGCAGCACACTTGATATCCAACGGTGACCCAAAACAGCAACATTTTTTAGTTTGACCTGACCTGGAAGGTCAATGACTGACCTGAGAAGGTAAAACTGGGTATCATTGGATTCGTCTCTTCCCAAAGAATCTTTTTGGTCTTTACTGCTAAGCTCTATCTCCAACAGGAACGAAATGGCGCGGGGGGGGTGGCAACCACCCCCCCCATGTGCGTTCTAGGATGGGAAAATGGCATGTGCGGGCGAGGGTTAATGACGGACCCTCTCTAAGAGTTGAATTTCGACCTTCTCAGTTTTATGCCTACTGCTCGGTGTAGTTATGATCAAAAATGGTTTAAGCATGCAAGAAAATAATTTTATGGATGTACCTTGCACGTGTTAAAATTGGAAGTGATTCGGACTCTTACTTCTCGAGATATTTAAGTTTTAAATCATGACCTTACTTTTGGGACACCCGGTATGTGATTTATTACCTATCACCATGACGCACTCACCCTTATCTTCGAAAACCGAAACGTTTGTTTCAGCTAGACGGAATTCACTCCAAATTTTAAAATATATCAAATCAAAAGAATTTCATAATTCTTTACCGACCAATACTTCATATACAAGGAACAGCAGCCCGAAGAAAAGCATGACGGTCAATTTGCCCGTTTATTGCAAGGCTGGCGGTCAGAGTGAGCGTAAAACAGGAGAGCGATACCGACTAGCGGCCAAGGTTCATCCGTATTGAACTGTAGGCAAGATTGACTGCTGATCGGTAATCAGATGACGTGCCTAGCAGCAATGAGTGCTTCATCATGCCCAATTAATGGAACTGATCAGTGCGGTATATAAATTCAGGGCACACCATAGCTCAGCTCATGGTATGCTCAAGGCCAATGTCTAAGTACCTATGTATATGCAAATTCTGATGAACATCGGTAGACATATCATTTTATGAGCTCAATGTGTGATCTACCTATCCAGAAGTCATATCCGGATGAGATTCAGATAACATTTTGGCTTTTCAAGGGTTTTCCATATGGTAGTAAGAGCGTGATGTGGATTTGCCATTTTGAACTCTGTCGGGTTAAAAAGGAACTGGGAGATGCCGAAGAACGCCCTTTGTATTTGTGCTCGAGATAGAAAGATTGTTCCAAAGAATAGCGTGACCATGAACAATGAAGCCCTGATTCAGGCGCAATGGGAAGGACCGCGCTGGTGATGAATTCTAATGCCATCAACAAAAACATGAATAACCAGTGCATGTGCTGACGATTAACTAGATCATCTCTTTCCTGGCTAGCTGCGCGTGTTTCAGAGGCAACTCAAAAAGCTAACTTTTATCTCTGGGACGATCGCCGCCCCCAGAGACAGCAGGTCAGAGCTATTGAGAAGAACTGGTTCAGAACCCATCGCCTGATGGACTCCAGACGCGCAAAAACGCGTCGCGTCAATCAGATATGACTACTGAGGAGACGAATGGGGACGAGTTGAGGACGTCACTCTGGGCGAGTGGGAATGCCACGGGCGCCCAGGAACAGGTGGGCCTGCGGCACGACTCTGAGAGAGAATGCATGATGGGTGAAGAATGAAGATGTTTATCAGGGGTGGCGCATTATCGGTGGGTAGGTATTTGGCTCCTACGTTGATTATCTAAACCAAAACCATATAATGCCAAAGTTGCAGCCAAAGCTTGAGGCAAAATGAAATGATGCTCTGTTTATAATAGCCGTAATTTATGTTTCACCATAGATCCCGCTTACCGGTGCGCGGTGTACAGAGGTCTATGGTTCGCCGTTCGACTAAATTAATTAAAAGCTTTCGTTTTGATGGATAAAATGAATATATCCCTACAACAAAACGATAATGACGTAAATCAGTTGTTGGGTGATCAGTTGCTATCATGTATGAAAACTTTTCATGAACAAAGCTCATCACATCCCGACACAATCGGCATAATGGGTGCAGTCGAAACACCGCCATTTCTTCTTGAAAACTGCATATACCAGCCTGCTAATCTCTACCAGCCTACTAATCTCAACCAGCCTGCTAATCTCATCAGAGTTACCACCAGCACAATCGGCTACATTCCAATGGCAACGAGCATCTCAATTCTCTCAGCCACGCCCTAACCGTCGACCGCAGTGTCCATGAGCCCATGAACCGCCCATTCTGCTGATGAACAAAGGCCACTCCGAGATAGGCGCCCAGCAGACTGAAGTGATGTATATTACTAGCTTCGAAGCAGGCTATGAACACAGCTGGTGTTCCAGCTTACTGCCTCTTTTTTCACGTAAGTTTACCGAGATAGCGTCAGAGTCCGAGCTGAAATGGACTCGTGAATAAGCGATAAATTAACGACTCGCGTAACTGTTCATCCGAACTGCTTCGGATCACGTGAAGATATAATTTGGGGTACTTAGTAACGCTGATGTGAAGGTTAACTGTCTCAAATATGTACCTGTTCACACTGCAGAACGGGCCTGCATTGAACTTGAACGCCTATTTATGGTGATATTTTCGAGGAACGTTTGTCTCGATGAGGGCAGGTGCATGTGTTACGTATGTATAGTTGGTATCTACTGTCCAGTGTCTAGTATCTACTTAGAGACGATAAACATTACTTACAGGCACGAAAAGATCCCTATTTCGCCGCTGACCCTCACATATCACTCAGTGAACGATAGCTGTAATGCTGAAGACTTCCCTCCTTGATACAGCCAATGATACACTCAGGCTCCGTCTCTGATTTCAGCCCTGTATCACGTCTCGTGTGCGAGAGGCCACGCCAAGTCGCCGAGTCGCGTGAGGGACGCCGATCGAGCATCAGAGCGGCGCCGGGGGTCGTCGCAGCCGGATGCCGCTCCCGCAGAGCTGGTGACGGGCGCGTCGGCTAGGCAGGGCCGCGGAACGACGGGCGTGCGTCCCGCCCCGCCCCGACGCTTTTCACGCGGGAGGGGGCTGAGGGAGGGGGGATGAAGGTATGTCCCCGCGGGCAGCACTGCTCTCGGGTTCGGCGTCCGTGGCCGTGGCCGTGGAGTGTCAGCACCGCGGGCGCTGCCTACCGCTCCGTATCTTCTGCCGCGCCGGAGGCCTGGGCGCGGTGCAACACGGAAGGTCGAACGGCCCGGCGATCCGGCGCTCCACGCCCCGTGTCAGAAACATCAGTGTCTGGTGGTATCAGGGGAAGGGAGCGGTACACATGGACGCTCCCACGGACCCATGGTCCACTGAACGAACGAGTGCTATTCCAGGACCACGCGCAAGGCCAGCCCTCCGCGAAATGGTGGGGGGGGGGGGGGGTGGTGACAGGATTCCCACGATCGGTTGAAACTGCTTTCATTTATTAGCAACACGTGTAATTAATGATGGTAAATATGCATGACAACGCATAAACACAGCATTGAAAACAACACATATCAGACGTATGATTACGCAGATATTGTCATATTGAAATAAATGTCATACAATCAAAATTATCGAACATATGTATATAAAACACTAAACAGCACCGTTAATGCGGTAACTGGAACTATATAGTTAATTTGGTAGCCTGGGAATCACTGATGACTGAAGCCGTCATTCACTTAATGGTTATAAGGACATCCAAAAAAGTATCGGTTTTTAGAGGTCTTTGGAACGCTCAACACAATGGTTGAAGAGTGTTTTAAAATAAAGAGACGAAAATTTTGTTTGTTTTAAGGGCTGAAATGTCAAAGGTGATTGCAAGTTTGGTTATAAGGCTGACTAAAAAGACGATTTCTAGCATTTTCCAGCTGATCATATAAACTTCACTTTGTCACCAAACCAGTCAACAGAGAAAAAAACACCCATACTATACGTCAGAAAACACTCGATCTTAGAGAATACTCGATCTCGTGTGTGACATTCATTTTTGAAACTTTTGCTATGTGTTTTCGGTATGAAGGCATGAGGGCATGAAGGCATTGGAGGCATTCGGCCTGCGTGTCGGAGTTCGCTAGCTTATTGGTTTACCTATGCATAAAAGAACGGTCCAAGTACAGTGCCCTAAAATACACCTGTTTAGTCATAAAACATGATATACATTCAATTAAATAGGCATCCGGTGCCAGTGGCAAAACATTTTTAGAAGAGGCAATAAGGAATTGAGGTACAGCGTACTGCGTAGGTCTCAATATTTGTATTTTGTAATAATTCTTTTTAATATTTTATGCAGTTTCTTTCCCGAGAAAGATGAGCTCTAAATATGCAGTTTTCAGTATTTGAGCTAGCAAACATATGTACCTATAACGGCTGATTCCGATGCAAGGATGTTCAAATAAGGATGACATCAAAAGTTTTAAATGAAACTTTGATCATCGGTTGTCTCTGGTCAGTTATCATTCGCTGCATCCTTTTCATTATGTGTCGTGTGAAAGCGGTCACTCGTATTTTGAAGTGGAACTTTTGAAAGGATACGTCGGGAGCCGAGCGTTGCGCAACGTGCGCGATAATATGCAATGTCCGTCCGAGGTTCAGTGAACGCTGGAGCGACCATATCTGCACGCAGAGCGGATTGCGGATATCCAGCGGGAAGTGGCGGCGGTGCGGGCCGCGCTGCCGGAGCAGATGCCCCGATGGGTCCGGCCGACGGATCGCCCGCGGCTACACCTCCAAGGTCGGCTCGCGCTGGCGCCACGGCCCCGGCCAGGAGAGCCGCAAGGGCGTGGTCCGATGGACGGCCTCGCCCGACTATAAAAGCGGCCGAGCATCCCGGTCCGGCATCACATCCACCAGCGAGTTCAACCATGAAAGTCCTGGTGAGTACAGCGTCCTGCGGCGATCACCGTCGCTGGAGCCACGACTACTACAACAGTTTGGCGTCAAAGGCATTCGAATGAGATGTGCCGAAATTTAATAAAGGACATGGGGCTAGATTTTAACTCCCGGATTAGTGGAATGTAATGTTTTAAAATACCTTAATACAGCTTTTGCACGTTTTTATTGTAATTTTTACAAATGCCGCTTGTTCTGTGTTTTCTCAGGTGATCGTGTCCGCTGTCCTGGCCGCTGCGGCAGCCCAGTACCTGCCCTACGCTGGGTACGGCTACGCGGGATTCCCGTACGCCGCCGGGTACAGCCTCGCTTCTCCTCTCCACAACACCTACAATGCCCATCCCCTGACCTACACGGCTGCTGCCCCGTACACGACCTACAACGCCGCCCCGTTCTCGTACGCTCCGTACACCACGTACGCCGCCCCCGTGCCGGCCTCCGTCAGCTCTCAGTACCACGCCCAGGACGAGCTCGGCAGCTACAGCTACGGCTACGCTGACGGCCAGAGCACCAAGCACGAGAACAAGAACGCCTACGGTGGCACCGTCGGCTCGTACAGCTACAGGGACGCCAACGGCATCGTCCAGACGGTCAGCTACGTGGCCGACGCCGCCGGCTTCCGCGTGAAGGCGACCAACCTGCCGGTGGCCCCGAAGGCCAACCTGGCCGCGCCCGTGCACTCGCTGGTCGGCCCGGCTCCCGTCGACGACACTGCCGAGGTGAAGGCCGCCAAGGCCGAGTTCCAGCGGCTGTACGACGAGGCTGCCGCCGCCGCTGAGGCCGCCCCTGACGCGCGCAAGAAGCGCAGCGCCGTGGCGCCTCTGCCCGTCAGCGACACCCCCGAGGTGGCCGCCGCCAAGGCCGAGCACGCCCGCCTGTACGCCGCCGCCGCCGCCGCTGCCGACGCCGCCCCCGACACCGACGGTCCCGTCTACACCCCGGCTGTGTACTCCGGCTACGCCCCGACCTTCTACTCGGGCTACGCCGGTGTGGCTCCGTCCTTCTACGCGGGCGTGCCGGCCATCCGTCCGGCCTCTGGCTTCTCGTACGGCTACAGCTCCACCCACCTGCCCTTCTACGGCCGCTACTTCTACTAAGCTGCAGCTGAACAACCCTTCGAGTCTGTTGTGAGCTGTTTTGCCTTCATCGTCCATTGTCGTGTTACATTCTTTGTGTTTCTCATCAGTTATCATTGACGTTCTGTGATGCCTTGATGCATCATTCATGCCAATATATTTTGTTAACAAACAAAATACAACTACGTTTTGGTCACAGCGGTAGTGGAAACAACATTGGTAAGAGAAGAGGGAATAGACTATAGAGCAAATATGTTAAAAATATATATGCAGCAGGTTCCAGATAAAAGCGCATAACATACAGCTCTAGAAAAAGCTACCACGAACAGTTTACTCGCGCATGACTGAAGGGTGCTCTACAGAGCCTCCCTCCCGTTTTTCTGCAATATCTTCTATAAATCGCTGGACGTGTCAACACAACTTGCAGTACCTTCAGCTGAATCATTGTGACACTTCATGTCATAAAAATGTAGCTGCTATAGATTGGCCGGAAATGACCCCATAGTGATGGCATACTCGGACAATTTTGGTGCAAAGCACTGCACTACGGCAATCGCTCTCAAGAGCTCATTTTTAAGCTAGATCCAATTTATTTGCATGAGAGAACTCAACATACCTACGTAAGGCTATCAAATGTCAGTCTCGCTTTTTGCCAATTTAACATTTCTAAAATTATAGGTACCGGGTGGAAAGAAAAAAAAGTACTACATCTTATTCGAGAATTACTTCAACATCACATAACATACGCGACTTTGCCTAAAGTCATTTTAACCCTCACCGGCCGAGGAGGGAGGGGTGGCGCGTGCCGCTCCCCATAGTATTTTTTTTTTTGCGATAGCTCCGAACACGCTGGCGATAGAGAGCTGAAACTTGGCATACCTGGCCTTTGATTCAAGCCATATCTTTGGATACCAACCACGTTTTCGGGTCATGTCAGGTCACTGACCTATGACGTCATAAGTGTGCCTCTGCACGGTCTTCAGATGGAACTTTGCAACGCCCTCACTGCCAGAGGAGCTTTCACAGGGAAATGAAACTGGCAGGATCTAGTAGTATCCATCGCAAGTCTCACATAGTGTATATCTCGGATTTTTCCTAAAGGTCATATGAGGTCAGGCCATTTTCGTGACCTCACCATTATAAGTCAACGGAAAAAAAAAATGAAAACTGCTATTCTGGCGCCGGGAACGAACTCCAACCATCCCAACCACACAGAATCATGATTTTATGCATTCCTTGCAAGGTTTGATGCGTCACTTTTGCAATATTGGCCTTGTGTGACGTCATTTACAACGTCATTAGGGTCATAGTAGTTTTTCGTCAATACCTCCCGATCAAATTGAGGTAGCAAGTCGGGAAAGCCACCAATGGACTCAAGAAGACCTGCCGAAACGAATGATAAGCAACATGACCCCTTTCGACCAATTTTGTGACCTGGGTGCGTTGTGGCCTGACCGTGACTCGAGGTCAACACCCTAAGCTGACCTCACCCAAACAAAAATTACATCATTCGACGCGCCTGAGCAAGGCAAACACGATGCTGCCAAAATCGTGGCTCTACAGCCGTTTTTTGCGAAGGAATTCACCAAAAATGGAACCGGGGCTTGGGGCACTTGACCTGACCTCAGAGGTCAACGGTTGACCTAGGTCCTTAAAATCGGATATCAATCTCTGCGTCTCGTTACGGCGCACACGCTCGTTTTTTTTCCGCGACGCGCTAGCTCCACCAGGGGCGAAACGGCGAGGGGGAGGGCGTACCCGCCCCCCCCCCCCCTCGGCAGGCGTGTATGTAGAAAACCAATAGGTCCGGCGAGGGTTAAACATATTTTATCTTATCCGATTTGACGAGTTTAGTGCTAAGCTCCCGGCTCACAAAATCTGCGCTTAGCTGGTGCTCTATAGGATTTATGTTAGACAGTGCGCTCGTGACAGTGATAAGTGTAAAAAGTTATTGAACATCGACATTGTTTGATGAGCGTAACTCAAACGTATCTTTTGGCTAATCAATGATAGCTACATACGAAAACTTCTTTGAACACGCAGTGCCCAATTGTATGGGAGGAAATTTGAATTGCTTGTTGTTTCGTCTTTTACCTAGTTACATAATAATATTACCTACAGAATAAACAGAAGGAAGCTATGATAGGTGGTTCCCCAGTCAACCGCAGACAATTTTTTTTCGAAATTGTATTATCAAGGCATCAGTTATTCATGAGACATTGAGCACACGGAAAGTGCTCATTTAGTCATCAGCGACTACAGTTCTTATACCTCTTCACCAGTTTTGATAAGTGAACAAGGATCAGAGACCAGATTTACCAACAGAAAAATAGCCGCTTGCCGGAATTTTTTGCCTAAAGACCGCTTCACATACGGAGTGTTAACTAATAACTTCATAGGCAAGTAAGCAGATAGGGCCTTACGGCTTACGCTCCGTATGTGAAGAGTTCTTTAGGCAAAAAATTCCGGCAGGCGGCTATTTTTTTGTTGGTAAATCTGGCCCCTGATCTTCTGTAGCAGACTAGGTACGAAAATAAGCCAGTGAAATACATTTATATTTCTTCGTATACCTATACAAAGAATGAATCCAAATGAGAATTTGTCATGTAAGGTAACTCTTATCTAGGAATAAGAAAAATAATAATTCAGCAAACGTCAAGCGAGCGATACTGATGAGTGGTCATCCCATTAGAATTGGTATTTAAACCTCGCCCGCCGAGGGGGGGGGGCGGGTGCCGCCCCCCCATAGGGTTTTTTCGCGATAGCTGCAAACACGCTGGCGATAGAGAGCTGAAACTTGGCATACCTGACCTTTGATCCAAGCCGCATCTTTTGACACCAACCACATTTTTGGGTCAGGTCAGGTCACTGACCTATGACGTCATAAGTGAACCTCTGCACGGTCTTCAGATGTCGCAACTTTGCAACGCCCTCACTGCCAGAGGAGATGTCACAGGGAAATGAAACTTGCAGGATCTAGTATCCATTATGAGTCCCACAACTTGTATATCTCGGATTTTTCCTAAAGGTCATATGAGGTCAGGTCATTTTCGTGACCTCACCATTAGGTATAAGTCAATGGGGAAAAATGAAAACTGCTATTCTGGCGCCGGGAACGATCTCCAACTATCTCAAGCACACAGAATCGTGATTTGATGCACTCCTTGCAAGGTTAGATGCGTCACTTTTGCAATGTTGACCTTGCGTGACGTCATTTATGACGTCATCAAGGTCAAATTAGTTTTTCGTCAATAACTCTTGATCAAATTGAGCTAGCGAGTCGGGGAAGGCACCAATGGACTCAGGAAGGCCTGCCGAATCGAATGATATGCGACATGACCTCTTTCGACCAACTTCGTGACCTGGGGGTGCTGACCTGACCTTGACCTGAGGTCAACACCCCAAGTTGACCTGACCCGGACAAAAAGTATATCATTCGACGCGCCTGAGCGAGGCGAACACGATGCTGCCAAAATCGGCGCTCTGCGGCCGTTTTTTGCGAAGTTATTCACCAAAAACTGAACCGTACCTTGGGGCACTTGACCTGACCTCAGAGGTCACCGGGTGACCTAGGACCTTAAAATCGGGTACCAATCTCTGCGTCTCGTAACGGCGCACACGCTCGTTTTTTCCGCGACGCGCTAGCTCCACCAGGGGCGAAACGGCGAGGGGGGGTCGTACCCGCCCCCCCCCCCTCGGCCGGCGCGTATGTAGAAAACCAATAGGTCCGGCGAGGGTTAAATGTCCCTTTGTTAATAAAATTACCTCTTTTAGCAATATTACCTTCCATTCGGATATGTTTCAACTTATGGGTTACATAGTATCTGCAGTGAGTATTCGGTAGCGCCTGTGGTCCCCGGCACGGCGGTCAGTCTGGTGTTCCTAGACGGGCGTGGCTCCTCCCGCCTACCTGCCTCCGGGGCTGCTCCAGCGCGGTATAAAACCGGCCTCCACCGGGCCTCACACACCACAGTCATCAGCGAGTTCAACCATGAAAGTCCTGGTAAGTGGACATACGAGCTTGGTTGTAAGAAATCTGAACGATATATCAAAATACGTTGTAACTACCCTTACCTACTATTGGCTATAATTCGTAATCGCTGCCAATTTCTTAAGGTTTCAGAGATTTGAGCCTAATTCTTATATTCATGGGCTGTTTTCGTTGCTTTCAAACCAATAATGATTACATGCGAAGATAACTGAAAAAAGGTGGTAAAACTAAACTATTTTTGGGTCCACCAAAAGTAAAGTTACCATTTTTGTCTTTCTTTGCAGGTGATCGTGTCCGCTGTCCTGGCCGCTGCGGCAGCCCAGTACCTGCCCTACGCTGGGTATGGCTACGCGGGATTCCCGTACGCCGCCGGGTACAGCCTCGCCTCTCCTCTCCACAACACCTACAATGCCCATCCCCTGACCTACACGGCTGCTGCTCCGTACACGACCTACAACGCCGCCCCGTTCTCGTACGCTCCGTACACCACGTACGCCGCCCCCGTGCCGGCCTCCGTCAGCTCTCAGTACCACGCCCAGGACGAGCTCGGCAGCTACAGCTACGGCTACGCTGACGGCCTGAGCACCAAGCACGAGAACAAGAATGCCTACGGCGGCACCGTCGGCTCGTACAGCTACAGGGACGCCAACGGCATCGTCCAGACGGTCAGCTACGTGGCCGACGCGGCCGGCTTCCGCGTGAAGGCGACCAACCTGCCGGTGGCCCCGAAGGCCGACCTGGCCGCGCCCGTGCACTCGCTGGTCGGCCCGGCTCCCGTCGACGACACTGCCGAGGTGAAGGCCGCCAAGGCCGAGTTCCAGCGGCTATACGACGAGGCTGCCGCCGCCGCTGAGGCCGCCCCTGACGCGCGCAAGAAGCGCAGCGCCGTGGCGCCTCTGCCCGTCAGCGACACCCCCGAGGTGGTCGCCGCCAAGGTAGAGCACGCCCGCCTGTACGCCGCCGCCGCCGCCGCTGCCGACGCCGCCCCCGACACCGACGGTCCCGTCTACACCCCGGCTGTGTACTCCGGCTACGCCCCGACCGTCTACTCGGGCTACGCCGGTGTGGCGCCGTCCTTCTACGCGGGCGTGCCTGCCATCCGTCCGGCCTCTGGCTTCTCGTACGGCTACAGCTCCGCCCACCTGCCCTTCTACGGCCGCTACTTCTACTAAGCTGCAGCCTTCCACTTTGACAGTTCGTTTCTTTGCATAGTTTCATGAACGCTCATCACCGATGATAAACGCCTCAATACATTATCATATACTTTTGGATTTTCTTGATTGTGCTAGCAATGCATTACATTGGTGTGTGATGATTTGAACGCTGTGCGTGATGATGATAATGGTTGATACATGATGCCAATATATTTTGGTAACCAAAGAATGACTGTGTGAAGGCTGATGACCTGCAAGATGACCATCAGCAGACGATTTTTCGAAGAGAGGAGCAGATATTTTTTTTCTATATGCTAATGCACTTACGATCCCATTTATACATAAATAAGATTGCAGGGGTTTAGGCAGAGTCGATGAATTTTCGGTGACTGCGACTCCAACTCTTGCTTTTAACACGCGCAGTGGAAGAGGGGGGGGGGCGGATTTCGCCCACCCCTCCTGTTTTTCGTCAATAACTCGCGCCGCAAACATAATATTAATGTGAAATTTCGGCTACCTGTCCAAAATTGAATTGCGGATCTTCTCGTGCAAGAAATAAGAAAATCGGTTCACAACTTTTCTAGTAATAGCGGTGTAAGGTCAAACATCCTGCCGCCGCGCCGCGCGGCGTCCGGCGCTAGCCGTTACGCGCCGCCTGAATTGCAGACTGTGCCGGGGCGGGACGGTTCCGTCTTTACATCGAGTTCCTTGCCACTGATTATATTAGATTCGCGTCAAATTCGGTGAGAAGACTGAGAAATGTACAGGCAATCATATGGTCAAAGATTTTTGAAAATCGGCCGGTAACAACTTGAGTTATGAGTGTGTAAACACAAAATTGTGATTGCCGCGTTTCCCGCGTCGGCCGATCCCGCTTCAGCCAGCGACATCTCACCCTTAGCAGGCTTCTAACTGCCATATTTATTGTTGGATTATCTAGAAATTCACCATACATACCACAGGGGAGCACTGCCGCTTCAACCCTATTGGCCGTAGTGTCTAACGGTGGCGGCCATATTGCGCAGACCAGGAACCGGCTGCCGCCTGTGTTGAGGAATAGGGAATTCGGGACCTCGATTTACGTTTGCGGCCGCCGTATCCGTTACGATCAAGCTACGTAGATACGGAGCCCGGCATCTTACGCAGAATTGAATGGGGAACACGATCGTATCTTCAGAATTCCTCAAATTCACTCGCCGGACCTCCATTTGCCCCGGCCGGGGGGGTTGATTGAACCCACCTCGCTAATGCGCCGCTAATTAAACTAGAATTAAGCGGTAAAGTGGTCGTATGCGGCAAAGTATAATGCAGAGTGACTAGTAGGAACCCGCTTTAAAGGTCTCAGGTCAACCGGTGACCTCTGAGGTCATGGTCAGGTCAAGTGATCTAAGGCACGGGTTCGGTTTTTGGTAAATAACTTCGCCAAACATAGCCGTAGAGCCGCGATTTTGGCATCATCGTGTTCAGCTAGCTCAGGCGCATCGAGTGATATACTTTTTGTTCGGGTCAGGTCAACTTAGGGTGTTGACCTCAGGTCAAGGTCAGGTCAGCACCCCCAGGTCACGAAGTTAGTCGAAAGAGGTCATGTCGCATATCATTCGATTCGGCAGGTCTTCCTGAGTCCATTGGTGGCTTTCCCGACTCGCTAGCTCAATTTGATCGGGAGTTATTGGAGAAAAATTGTGACCCTTGTGACGTCAAAAATGACGTCACGCAAAGGCAACAATGCAAATATGAAGCATAGAACCTTGCAAGGAGTGTATGAAATCATGATTCTTTATGCTTGAGATAGTTTCAGATCATTCTCGGCGCCAAAATAGCATTTTTCATGTTTCCCCATTGACTTATAAGGGTTTAACGTATTAGTTCCTTGTATCTGAGGATTTTTTTAGGATTTCATCTTGTTCTCCACTCAATTCTGCGTAAGATGCCGGGTTCCGTGTCCACATAGCTTGAACGTAACGGATGCAGCGACCGCAAACGTAAATCGAGGTCCCGAATTCCCTATTCCCCAACACAGGCGGCGGCCGCTTCCTGGTCTGCGCAACATGGCGGCACCGTTGGACACCATCTGGCGGCCGATGCGCCTTCCACATTATAGAGTTCAGTGATACATACTCACAAATGTTTGTTCTTTCGTACAGTGAAAGAAAAAAGAAAATCAGTCTGTAACTTTTTGAGTTATCGGCGTGTAAACGCAAAAAAGTCGCTCATATGGCAGATTTGACCACATTTGACCTCATTTGACCTTGAAGATATTGACCTAGGGTCATGAAATTCACACACAACAAAGTTCCCCGGGGCCTTCACCTACCCTCCAAATTTCGTTTTTCTAGCTCAAGTGGGAGCTGAGATCTTAGGGGGGCGACATCCGCCCCCCCCCTTCCACTGCAGGCGTAGTACTCGCAACCCTTCCACTGCGCGTGTTAAAAAACGACTCCGACTCCGACTCCAGCTGCGATTCCCAGGATCTCTCTAAAGTCACGTCTGCCCGTGTGGTCGGATCCAGCCCCTTGGTTTTCTTGAATAACCCTTAAACCGCTTATTTAACCCGCGCCCCGTAGGGCTACCGGCGGACCCTACCACCCGTAGGGGGGGGGGGGGGGGGGGCCGTTTCGGCCCCCCCCCCCTAAGATCTCGGAAAGTTACCGGCTGATTTTCAAAATTCAAACGGCGTTCGATAGCCCCACCCGGGAACTACCTTGTGACCAAATTTCATTGACCTAGGTCAAACCGATGACGTCACAGGTCGGGTCAAAGGTCAGATTTTCACCGTTCACAGGCAATTCAAGAAATGTGCTGTGAAAGCGAGTAAATTGGTAATTTATTGAAAACCATCGATGGTACATTGTTCGTCAAACACATACTTTGCTATCTGAGGTCACTGATACCAGGTCAGGTCACAGCGAGGTCAGGTCACCGGGGGTCACAATATGAATGTGTCGTGTGATACATGTTTTATGGTCCATTTTACATGACAAATGCGATTATGTGGGTTAGGCAGCCTTTGGGGCCAGCCTAGGTCACGTTTTTTGTGAAGGTCAGGTCAAGGTCAGGTCAAATTAGGTCAAATTTCAAAGTTGATATTTTTGCATAAAATGGGTATCGATTCGATGCAGCTCGTCACGGGGAGTCTAATGGTGGTCTTCGTTTTGCTCTACAAGTTCTAGAATTGCCAAAAATTGAGTTTGAAAATTTGACGTCATCATTTTTGAACAGTTTTTTCGCTATAACTTGGCCAAAAAACGAGGTATCGATCTGAAATTTGGTATGTAGATAGAAGATGGTAGGCACTATCACATATATTCCGGTTTTTTCGAAACTCAAAAACTTTTTGGATTTTTTGGCGAATATATCCAAAAAATGCTTTTTTGATTTTTGGGGGTCAAAACTCAAAAATTTCAAAAATTCGAGATAGCAGTTTTGTAGCCCTGTCAATTCTACACCTTTTATGTCTTGATCATTTTTCTATATCTTCAAAGCTGTAGTCCTGACAGGTCTTCTCGCGAAGGTCTTTTTTCGGTCGAAAATGACAGAACATGACGTCACTCTGACGTCATTTGTGGCCAACCTATCATAGCCTCTAGAAAAATTTTTGGTCACAATGTGTAAAATTGATGCCCGGAGGGGTCCTGAAAGTTTGGTGGCGATATCTCCAGCCGTTTAGGAGATATCGACCGAAAAGGACAGGGGGGGCCGTTTCGGCCCCCCCCCCCCACGGGGCGCGGGTTAAGATAGCGATATGGAACTTGGTGCACCTTCTATTATATCAATTTGACACGTTTTGTGAAAGTTACATGCAATTTGTAAGAAATGACAAATACCCATTTTATTGACCCAAATAAACGATATTAGTTCGGAAAAACGGTAGTTGTTTGAAAAATTGCCAAAAATAGAGTTTACAAGCAAAACACAAAAAAAAAAACGTCTAAAGACAAAGCAACGGAAGCTCCTAATATGGTTATCTCAGATTTTCCCCAAAATGTCTTACTGAATATATGTTGTAGAATATATGCAGAGTGCCACATATATTCTACTATCATATCCCGCGCACCGACGGGGATCTGCGCCAACTTACAACCGACGGGGGGGGGGGGCGATGACCGCCCCCCTTGAGGTCTCGAGAACGAAGCAAGATAGCGACAAGTGGTAAACGGCATGGGGTGCGCACGGACAACGTTTACAATTTTTACAAAGGTAATTTTCAGCTCAGGTCAAAGATGACATCACAGGGGTCAAAAAAGTCAAAATGGCGGCGCTAGATATAGAGATAGTTTGTCTCGAATAACTTTCGAATTAGTCAAGATAGGAACAAACAAAGGGCATCATCGTGATCCTCTCATCAATCTGCATCGAATCATATATATTTTGACCTGGCAAGGTCAAGGTCAAAGGTTGACCTCAGGTCACGTGACCTTGAGGTTGTCATGCATATCATTCGATGCGCCTTGACGAGCAGAACACAATGAGACCATCCGCGCGGCTGTGTCTTGTTCCTGTACGGAGTTATTGGCAAAAATCTTTGGTGACCTTTGATGACGCCACATGACCTTACAGCTGCCCAACAGCAAAACAATCCTCAAGGTAGTGAAGGTTGATCGTATATGAAGTCATTTATGGTATATGGGGCCATTCTGACCCGTTTTAGTGGTAAAAACAGGGAGTTGATTTTCCCCCATTGACTTATCATGGGGAGGTCGATAAATTGACCTGACCTTAGGTCATCGATATCAAAATTCCGAGATTAACAAATTGTAGCTACTAATGACCTAATGACATCCTGCGACTTGCAAAGGCCTCCGACATCTACTGTAGCTCTGAAACGGTGACAAAGTTGCAAAAAAGTGACTTGAGGTTGGGTCATTCAAAGTGACCTGGTGACCTGACCTTAAAAGTTAGGAGGTTCGAACTTGCACACCATGTGTAAAATTTATGCGAGAATAAGCATACCAAATTTCGCGACGCTACGCGCCGCAGTTTTTCCACTATTCACGAAAAATCTCAGGGGGGGGGGGGCGGATAACCGCCTCCAAATGGTAAAAAGACAGCTCCAGCATGAATAGGTATAGTATGATGGCGTCATATGTTATATCGTACTTTTAGACATCCGACCAATG